CTGGCTGAATGAATGTGTGCATGCTAGAGACCAGGACAACTGAAGATGGTCATGGGAACTGATGATAGATAAGCCAATGGCTGGCTCTTAGGGGTTAGGGAAACACTTTGGAGTATCTTCCCAGCTTGCACTCACAGTACCCACTCCTCCCCATAGTGGGCACACCACCATGTCTGGCTAATTTTTGTTATTTTTTTGTAGAGATGGAGGTCTTAGTATGTTTCCCAGGCTGGTCTAGAACTCCTGAGCTCAAGCAATCCATCCACCTTAGCCTCCCAAAGTGCTGGGAGTACAGGTATGAGCCACTGTGCCTGGCCTTATTTTATTCTTCAAAGGAGTTTCAGGGCTGGGCATGGTGGCTCACACCTGTAATCCCAGCACTTTGGGAGGCTGAGGCATGGGGATCACCTCAGGTTGGGGGTTCAAGACCAGCCTGACCAACATGAAGAAACCCTGTCTCTACCGCAAATACAAAATTAGTCAGGCGTAGTGGCGCATGCCTGTAATCCCAGCTACTTGGGAGGCTGAGGCAGGAGAATCGCTTGAACCTGGGAGGTGAAGGTTGCGGTGAGCTGAGATCATACCATTGCACTTCAGCCTGGGCAACAAAAGCGAAACTTCATCTCATAAAAAGGAGTTTGAGTTCGGTTTTCTGTTCCTAGAAACCTAGAGCATTCTACTTGACTCAGGGTGTGATAACTGTCCCATTCAAAGCTCTCTGGGCAACTGGCTCCATTGCTATCTTGTATGGAATTTATGCTCTGCTCTAAGGACTAGTCTCTCTGAAAGGACTATGGGTAAGGCAACAACAAAAACAAAAGCACTCGGGAAGAGAGGGGGACTTTCAGAGCTGTCCTAATGGATAGACCAGGAGCAACATGTCGAAGCCCCAGTGAGATCATTTTGACTGTGTAGAAGCAAAACTTTGTCAAAAATTAGAACTTCTTTAGAATAGCCTCTCAAGACATCGCACAAGAAGATGGGAAAAGATTGCCTTTGAAATGGGCCCAACTTACATACCCATACCTCTGTGGAAAGAAGCAGTGGATAGAGTCAGAGAGTAGCTTTTCTGAGTGAGCAGAACTGCAGGGAACAGAATCAGGAGTGAGAAGGCCTCTGGGAGCCAGGACATTCTTATCTAATACTTGAGGCCAATGTGGCAACAAGCAGAAGTGCTTATGAGTAGATTTTCTAGATGTTAATTACTTAAGATTATTATGCTTTTGATTTATTTCACATTTGAATTTGATTTCTTATCATTGTTTGTTTTGTTTCCTCAGTGTGTGTGTGTGTTTTGAAATATAAACCTGTAATGCTGTCAGTTCTGTCTTACTCAGTGACCCTTGATTGCTCATTCACATTTTAAAATTAACAACTGGGTATTTTGTATATATTTTCTCTGCTTTCGTGTGTGCAGACTGATTTTCTAGCTATCTCCTTCTCTAGAGTTGGGATCCAACCAGCAGCAATGTCAGATTTGTTGTTGTTGGTTATGAGGTACATGCTAGTCCCTTGCAAGAAACAATTTCAGGCACAGCTGGATCCAGAGGTTCAGACAGTGTCATCAGGACTCATTATCACCTTCTCCACTTCTCAAGTATGCCTTCTTTTGTTTCACTCCATCCTGGAGTGCAGTCTATTATTTTGATGGTCAGATAGCAGCCAGCAACTCCACATTTATATCCTCACAGCTTCAAGTCCAGTGGAAAGGTGTGACTTTTCCTGATAGTTCCAACAAAATTCCTGGGCCTAAATTGGGTCACACACTCACCCTGAACCAATCCCTGAATGTGATGATTGGGCTTAAGCCTGGGGAGATGCAAAGATGCTCCTGGAGCTGAAGATGTGGATACCTCTACCCAAACTACATGGTTAGAGGGGGAAGAGGGGATGAGTCTTCAAAGGAAAATGTGGTTCTTTTATCTGAAGAGGAGAAGAAAAGCTGCATAAGCAAAGTCATACATTTTCACTTCAGGCCTTTTCAAGCTAAGATAACGAGGGAAAATTATGTTCTGCTTTGGAGGAATAAAATCTTTGCAACTATAAAATTTAGTCTTAACAGAATGCAACATTTAAAACACATCTGTGGGAAAACCACACAGAACATAGCATGACTTCTAAAGTAAAAAGGAGTATTCCATTAACTTTCAGAGTTTTAAAAACAAAGGGCATTCTGTTAATAAATTTTACTACATATTATTCAGTGCATGTCCTACTGGGTTTAGAAATTGTGGTTATTTTGAAGCATTTGATTAGGTGGGGAGGAAACATCAGAAGCAAAACAGCTGAAAGTACATTAGCAAAAAACCTACATCCCAAATTATTTGGGAATGTGAAGTCATAAAGGATGATGAATCAGTGCCAGCAGGATGGAAACAAAATAATTTTCTTTAAAATTCTAAGGCATTGTTCTAGTTTTAATTGTCAAGTGAGCTGAATAATAACAGCTGAGAAGGAAAAGTCATTTAAAACCAGCATTACTGTGTGATCCCTACACTGACCATGCCAGAAACTGGTTGTGCTCTGATTGGCATAGCTGTGGCTTCAAAGCTGCTTGACCAGCGCAGAAGCGAGGTTGAGAGGTTTGCTGACATGTGTCGGCATATGTAAAACTTTTTCCAGGGAGAGGGCAAGAGAAAAAAGAAAAGTTAAACTGGAACTCCAATAGGTTATGAGATTCATCTTGATGATAAAACAATGAAGAGAGAAAGCCTTTCCTAACAGGTGGAGAGAAGTAAGTCCACATTTGCACCCGAATAAGCTTGGTAGCTATGCCCAACAAGCACTGAGATGGAGGAACACTGTGAGTTTAAATCTGCATTTAGTCAGCTTTTGTTACAATAACAACCCCCAAATCTTAGTTGCTTACAACAATACATGCTAATTTCTTGCTGATGAGTTTGTGGTTGGCTGCAGCTCTGCCAGACAGGTAGAGATCTACTTCTGCATTGTCTTGTTCCAGGACCAAGCTGAAGAAGCCCCTGTTTTCCAGGGCATGTTATTCCCATGACAGATGCTAAAAGTTCAAGGGGGTGAATAGAAACATGTGGAACTGGCATGTTATCATCCGTTCATATTCTGTTGATTGAAGCGAATCACAGGCCCGAGTCCTAAGTCATTGGAGTCAAGACCCTGATAAGAGTGTGGTGGGGCATATAACAATGAAGAAATAATACCATCTACCTTAATCTGACAGCTCGGCCAGTTATTTGTCTCATGATGTTGGATGAATTAGTTAAGCCTCAGTTTCTTTTATCTGGGGAGACAAAACTGTTTACTTCACAGGGTGACAGCTAAACTAGGGATGCTTGTACAGCGCTGAGCACAGTGGCCTGGATAGAGTAGAAAATCTCACATTGGATTGTTATTCATTGGAGGGATCATATTACAGGCAAAGCATGCCACCTTGGGAGGAGTGGCATCCTGACTGGCATCAGGGAGAAGGCAGACAGGAGTTGAGAACTTAGCTGGGCACAGGGGAGGGTATGGTAGTGGGGCAGGCAGGAGAGGGTTTAAGGTGGAGGGAAGAGCAGGGGCCCACCAGACCCAGTGCTCACAAACACTGGGGAATGGATGAATAAATGGGTACATGAGGAGAAACAGTTCAGGCCCTCTCTCAAACAACTCCAGGAGAACAGCTGGTCTGAGGATGACTGTGGCTTTATTTTCTAGGACAGCCTGGTCACCTTGCTTCCTCTGGGTGAAGCAGACTTTGCCCCTTGAGATCAAACCTGGCAGGCTGTACTTTCCACACCCCCAGTCCAGTTGCCTCTCTTGTCTCTACTATCATCATATCCTGCCCCGTACTTCCCCTTCTCCAAACCAGTCCTCCACTTCCACTGTCTCCAGCCCTCCTCTGGTGTTCCATGCCTACCTCCCCTACATCCTTAATCCTTTATGTAAGCTTTCTATCCACTTTCGCACTTCAACTGAATCCTGGTTCTCCTTTGAAGTCACAACACTTTCTTTGTAGCACCCTCAAGAGGCCTTTTAGTCCCTCACATTCCATGCATCTATGTATCTCAGGGTGGCCTGGCAAGGTTGTCACTTTTGCTCCTTGTTTTTTTTTTTGTTTGTTTGTTTGTTTTTTTTTGATATGGAGTCTCACTCTGTTGTCCAGGCTGGCTCACTGCAACTGTTGCCTCCTGGGTTCAAGCGATTCTTGTGCCTCAGCCTTCTGAGTAGCTGGGATTATAGGCACCCACCACCACGCCCAGCTAATTTTTGTACTTTTAGTAGAGATAGGGTTTTGCCATGTTGTCTAGGCCGGTCTCAAACTCCTGGTTTCAAGTGACCCTCCCACCTCGGTCTCCCAAAGTGCTGGGATTACAGGTGTGAGCCACCATGCCTGGGCTCTTTGGCTCCTTGATGCCTTTGCTTCTCCACTTTCTCATAACCCTCTGAGTCTTGGCTTCTCCTCCCTGGTTCCATCAGCAACACCCTTGGCCACCCTCCTTCATTCTGTGAAGACTAACCCCCTGCTGCTCCCAGTTTTCCTTTCCACCTCAAGCCCTGAATCTGCCCCACCCCAGTCAACTGGGCCTGGCAGCCATCTCATCCTTAGTGCTGACCCATCCACTGTGAAGCCACGACTGAAAAGGGGGGTTCAGGTCTCTGGGGAAGCTGGAGAGACCCTGCCCCTCCCTCATTGTGCCTGCTAAAGAATTACATTTGAAGGCCTATGAAAAGTGAGTTATTTTGAGATAATTCTTTTTGCTCTGTAGAGCAGGGTTTGCCACTTTTTCAAACTATTTCAGTATGTCTGGAAAGCAGAACCACACATCATACAACATTGGAGACACAGGGGGCACAGTTGCCATTTTCAGCACAGATTGATGTGCATAATCGTAGCGTGAAATTGCAATAAATAAAGCACAGTCATCTTGCTAAAGCGGCACACTCACAGAGGATGCTGTCGTCCTTGGAGCAGGAGGTGTGTGCTGCTACCCTGTTCCGCCTTGAGGTGAGCTGCAGCAGGGATTTGGAGCCCTGAACAGAGAAGATCTGCATGAGGTGCCTGTATCCACACTGTTTTTAGCAGGTGCCATCAAAGGCAATGATGTTTTCCCCAAGTCTCAAGCCAGATCCCTGAACCTGAGTATGGCACCCTCTCACTGTAAAGGCTGCATTCAGAATAAATCTCAGATAGAACCAGATGGCTCTGAAGCCCTTCGGAGAGAAGGCCTCCCGATTTCTCCTCAGTTTCACAAAGTCACTAGATTGTCTCAACAATATTTGGGATATTTGTGAAATATCCCAAAGTTCACGGGACCCCAAGCCCAGTGGTAATTCTTTCCTTGCAGACTGTCAAGGCTTTGCTTAAAGCCCCTCCAGAGAGGTAGAGCTCATGCTGTTAAGCAAAACATGAGATGCTGTTGGTGAGGGTGTTTTTCATTTAGCTTTTTAGAGTGTAGACGTTTGAATGTGCAATCTTCTGAAACCATACAATGATTGTCAATGAAGGATCTCTAATTTGTGAGTCTGGAATGAGTTTGCACACTTCATGCAGAGCACATGGGAAGCTGAGCCCACCCTCTTGATCTCATTCAGCCAACACTGAGCACCTAGTTGTGTGCTGGGGCCTACACAATGGTCTCAGGATTCAGAGATGAATGAGATACAGTATCTGTTTTCAAGGAACTCATAGTTTATTCAGGAAAACCAACACAAAATTACAAAATAGCATTATGGGAGCTATCACAAAGAGATATATACAGAGAAAAGGTTATCTGTATGTTGAGTTCAAAGGAAGTAAATGTTTGTGAGGGAGCTTTGTGTAGCTATCACAGACAAAGAGAACAGTACATGCAAAAGCAAAGTGACACCGCAAAGCAGTGCTGCCAGGGTCCTAGAAGTGGTCTGTGTGCTGGGGCTGGGGCATAAAATGTTCAGAGGCAGTGACTGGCTATGCCTCCAGATAGAGAGGAGCCAGGTTGTGAAGGCCTCTGTGTGCCCTCTAAGGAACTTGGGTTCTAACCTATAAAAGGAAGCCAGGGAGAGCCAGAGAGAAATACAGAGAATTGGAGTAAGGTACCAAGGTGAGTCGTGAAGGGGGCTGGCAGTTCCATGAGGTATTCACTATGGCACAGGAAGGTGGCCACATCTGTCCCTGCTCAGAGAATCAGTGATACAAGGGCAAGATTGATCAGACTCTGAATCGGACAGTTCCAGAACACTGGAAAGCCTTAGTGGTCCATCAGACAGAGTGACCTCACCAGCTCTGCAGACACACACACTTCCATTTGCCAAACTGCAAATACTGAAGCTAAAGGGCACCAGGATGCATGCCTCTGGGCCCTGAAGTGGACAGCCCTGGTGATGCTGGTGTGTCCCATGCTTCTCTCCCAAGCTCCCCTCAGGGATTGGGTCCTCACTGCCTAGTGGATCATTCATGATTCAGCAGTGATTGCAGGAGGCCTGCGGAGCTGACCAGGGACCAAAGTGGGCTCACAGACAGAAAGGCAGGGCAGGAACAACCTACCCACATTCTTCAGGAGGAGGGGAAGAGAAGCAAGGAGAAATGAGGGTACTAGTCTTCCGCTTCTGGAGAGGGAGCTTGTTGGTGTCACCTCCTGCTTCCCCTTGAGGGAGTCAAGGCAGAGGGGCTGGAGGGATGGCCAGGGAGGGCTTTTTCTTCCCTTGCTCTGGGAAGCGCTAGGATCTAGGTTCTTAAAAGACCATCCTGTGGTGCCGGTGGTACCACATGCTAATGTTTGGGATCGAGAAGTTGTTATGTTGTCACTGGCTCCAGAGATCACTGGACAGGAGGACCAGCCCAAGAGTAAGCCCTCTTGAGAGTTCTCAAAGCAGGAAAATCAGTGTTTCTGGCCAAGACTCCATAAACCTCATGAAGCCTGGTTTCTCCTTTAATAATAATGCTACTAATAATAGCCAATATCCATTGAGCAAACATTAGGTATTAGGCACTCTTGTAAGTGTTCTGCATTTATTAACTTATTTAATTCTTACAACTCTCAGAGGTGTTTAAAAATTAGTCTTCACTGTACAGTCCTTCCAACGATAACTATGATTATCCTTGAACACAGAGACTTGATACTCCAGCTCCATGATTTCAGCAGTTGGGAGCTTCTCATTTCCTTTGCAGCCCTTGGCTCGGCGATAGGCACAACTATAAGGTCAAGTGGGTATTTTCCAGGCAAATCTGGCACGTGGACTTGATGCTGTGCCTGAGGCTGGTTCCCAGCTTGGGGTTCCCACATAGAGGCTGCTTATGCCAGGGCAAAAGCCAGCCTTGTGACCAGTTCTATGCCAGCTACAAGAACTGGGTTTTTTAGTAACTTCAGCACAGGAACCATGTGCTGTGGGCAGTAGGGTAGGATGGTTTGAGCCCAAACACCAGCCAGAGGACTAGTGCAGCCATCTGGAAGAGTCAGCTCACAAAGACAAGACTTCCCCACGGCCCCACTGTATAGACAGTGCCTCTGGGATTCCAGTATTAGGCATAGTCTGAAGAGGATTCAGCCCAAGCCTCCTGTCTATTAGAAAAAGTGTCTCCCTGGCTGAAGGAGGCCAGGAAGCAGTTGCATCCCTGTGGGCCATCTTCTCAGATGCTGCTTTGTGTGGTGTAGTAAAAAACAAAAGTGACTTAGGTCAGAAACTTGAGGCATGACTATGTCCCACTGTCAGCCAGTGAAAGCCCATCAGAAAGAGAGAAAAGGCTGGTTGGAAGTGTAGGAGGAGAGCAGGCATAATCATGGGGCCAGTAGTGCAGCAAGGTTTTTGGAGAAGCACCAGGGCTGGAGCCATGAGAGGGCAGGGTCAGAGAGGAGGGGTGCAGAGGGGGACTGCAGTCAGAGGCTCCCAGGGGACCATCCCCAAGGGAAGTCAAGGTCAGAGAGAGCAGAGAGCGCCCGTGGAGTCCGAGGCTGGACAGCGAAGCTCAGGGGCAGCCCCAGCCCATGCCACATGTGCTTTCAGAGGCCCTAGTTCCCGCTGAAGCACATTTTTGGACATTTGATTTCTCCCTTCTGCTTCTCTTCTTTTCTTGTGCATACATGTATGTTAAATAATATCAATTATCAAAGTTTACCTAGCATCCATTAAGTTCTAGATGCTGTGTTAAACATGTTACATTCATTTTTTCACTTAAGTCTCACACAACTCCCTGAGGTAGGATCTATTGTTGTGTTGCTAAAGAGTAGAATAACCTGAGGTTTAGAGGAATTTAGAAACTTGCTCAAGGACATACAGCTCAAAAATGGCAAAGCCAGAATATGAAGCCAGCTCCAGCACTCATGCTTTTAAATACCACACTGTCTCCTGGGTTCCCAAAGTGAAAAGACCCCATCCCAGCTTTGATAAGCGGATGACGGCCCAGGGCCCTAGCAGAATCCCAGCAGGGGAAGACTCTCCTGGAAGCTCCTTGGCAAAACAAGTCACCTTCTAGTCTGTCCCCAGCCACTGACCTCTAAGTCCCAGTGCTAATCCTGCTTTGGAAAATCACAAACTACATGGGAGATCAAAGGCAAAGTCCCAGCTCCCTCCTATCAATCCATCCCTGCTTGGCCCTTTATGTGGTGCAGGCCCCCAGGGAGGCAGCAACCACAAGCCAGGAGACACTCTTGGCTCTGCTTTCATAGAGAAAACCTCCATTGGCTATGGAAATTGGGCAATTTTTCACTTAAAACCATCTGAAAACAAAATTCAGTGCCTTCAAAATTATATATTCACAGAACATTTCCAGACTCTGGAATAGGATTAGATGGTAATGATTTAATTGATGGTTAAGTGTGTAGATAAAATGAATATGCTGAATTCTTTCCGTAATTATCCCTCCAAGGAGCCCCAGCAGCTGTAATTACTGTCTGAGGCCAAAATTACAAACCAGCTGTAGTTTTAAGCAAAATACATTGCAGCCTCCACTGGATCGCTGAGGAAAAGTCGGTCCCTACCAGCACAGAGGCCCACTAGGACCCATCAAAAAGGGAGCACAGCCCTTAAAGAAGTGTATTCCCAAACCTCAGGGAATGTGTTCTCACAGCATTGTTCTACATCCTGGTGCTTCACTGTCACTGCACGCTGCTCTCTCGTTGCAGCTGGAAACCCTTCTTCCTCCCCTAGGAAGATCAGTTCATACTGATCTCTCATCCTGAGGACCAGAGAGCAGACTGAGCAAAAAAAGGCACTATTAAATCTCAGCCCAGGGAGGATGGGGGAGCCCTCGTGGGCCTGCAGGGAGACTGGCAGTCTCACTACAACTCAGAGTCTGTACCCTTTTGGTAGCCAATAGGCCAAATTAGGTTCTAAATCTACTTTTGGCTATAGTAATCTGGGATGGCTGATTCCACTGATCAAATGAATCCAATCATGACCAAATTCTCTGTAGAAGCTAAGCTCCTCCCTGAATAGTTATGCAAAATCCATGCATTCATTCAACAACCATCACAGAATTATGGAGTACCTCCTATGTGCCAGGTACTATGTGAAGGATTGGGTATACAATGACAAATAGAGCAGATATGGCTCCTGCACTATTGGACTGTGGCTCTTGAATTATCCTTCACTTGACTTGGATCCTGCCAACAGTCCTGTCTGGGACACTAGGATCTGCATCTTTAGATGAGGTGGTTGGGTAGAAGAGAGTTTCAGGATGAAGTGGGCATGCTGCAGGTGAAGAACGGAGCACGTGAGCTGCTGATTTCAGCTGAGCTGGCTGGAGACACTGGCCTTGGCTCCCAGGAGCTTTGTCTGCTCTGCAGCCTCTTTCATGCATTCAGCACTTCCTGAGGTGCCTACTGTGTGCACAGACTGTGCCCTCTGTGGTTCACTCCTTTACCCCCTAAAACATGGACATCATGCCCTATCCTTGTTGTGTGGAGCTCTTGCTAGGTATGACTAAGACAGAATACAGTACCAGGTAACACCATAACTGTTATTAAACAATCTCTATTATTTTCTTATGTCTATTTCCTCAGCCAGATTGTAAATTCTGTGGGGGATGGGACCAGCATTTCCCCATTATACCTCCAGTGCCGGGTAGGGTGCTTTGCACTTGCTCAGAAATATTCGGTTTAAAATAAATTCTCTAACTCCACTTCCAAAGGGGAAGCCGGGGGATTCCTTTTCAGGTGAAGGTGTTAGGCAGTGGGGACTGCAGAACAATGAGCAAATCGAGACTTCCACAAGGGCACAGCAGAATCCACTCATTCCCATTCAAAAAGTCCTCTCATTCTCATTCCTTCTTTCATTCTCATTCTCATTCATTCATTCATTTATTCTCTCTCTCTCTCCTTTTCTCTCTCTCTCTCTCATTTTCCTCCTGGAAGACAGGTGCCATGTATTTTTATCACTGAATCCTCAGTGTCTGGACATCGCGTGGTACAGAGGGCCCCTAAATAAGTGTTTATTGAATCGACGTATCAATGAACCCATTAGAGTCCTGAAGAGTTACCTGCAGTGATGTCAATGGCCAGGGGAGGGCAGCAAAGGGCAGCAGAGCTGACGGCTGAGGCCCTAGGAAAGGGCTACTGCTCTTTGGGAGACAGATGCTTGGCATTGAGTCAAGGAACCCATTACCCATGTGAGTATCTGGAGACACTGAGAGTCCCAGGACTGGAGAAAATGGCTGACAGGAATTCAGCCAGTGTCAGAAGCCCAGTGTCATACAGGAGGGGGACTAATTTGAGTGGGGAGCTGCTGAAGTGGGTGCCCAGTGCTGGTGGTGAAGGTGTGTGGAGAGAGGAGCTGAAATCCCGATTCCCAGAGAGATAGTCTAGAGTCACAGTGTTGGCAGCACGAGTCCTGTGCTGAGCTCTCTGGGACTCCAAACATGCCTGAAGGGTTTTGACTCTCTGGTTCTTGAAATGACAAGTGTTCCAAAAGTCGGGTCTCACATCATCCTCCACCCTGGCTTGCACTGCAGAAGAGTGGGAAGAGAGAGCCAAGAGCAGACCACAGCCGCGTGTGTGTGGAGACATGTTCTCCAGCCCCTTCTCAAGTCCCACCACAGGGGTGGGAAATGGCAGCGTTGGGTCTGTAGAGGAAAAGCTCCTCCCCTCAGCCATTTTCACTGGAGAGTAGAGCGTCGATGGCATGTGCAGAGACATGGCAGGAGGCAGTGGGTTTGCTGGGACCATCTCTTATCTGGACAGTTTCTCAGTGGGCGCTGCTGGTCTGGCAAGCTTTGAGATTCAGATTTGGTTTGCTGCCCTGTGGTGTATGTGCTGGCTTGAGCTTTTTGGAATAGGCTACAGAATGGTTTGCTTCCAGGAAGGTGGATAATGGAGTGCAGAGTTGTCATGAGAAGAAATCGGGTGTCTGTGGGGGAGAGTCATAACTGGAAGGTTGGCTGGGTATTGCCAGGGGAGAAGGGGATGGTGTTTTTCTTGGTGTCCCAGAAGAAGGGATCCATCTTCAGGGCTGAACCTGTTTGGCCTACACAGTCCCATTCCTTTTGCCAATGACTGCTTCAAACATTGGCATACTTCTGGCCATGATGTGTAAGGAGCTGGTTTGCTGGGCAATTGAATAATTTTTTCCTTGCTCTTAACAGAGAGCTACAAGAAGTACATTTTCCTGTGGATACTTTTATGTCTGGATGCAATGCCTAGATCTGCATCCATCTTGCGACCAACCAGAAGATGAATCGAAAGGAAGGAAGGATGGCCCAGTAGCCTGGGAAGAACCAGTGTTCCTGATACCATCATTAACCACAGAATCTACAATCCCTGAACCCCCCATCCTTAACTACAGAATCTACAATCCTATCTCTAGACACTCTGTCCAGATGCTACACTTTCTTTGTTCAATCTAGTTTGTGTCAGGATTTCTGTTCATTACATCAAAAGTATTCTAATACTGGTAGCAAAACAACTGGAGAAGTTTTCACTTTGTCTTTAACCAAAGAAGACTTCCAGGAAACATCTCCTCAGTGGATTTCTCCCTCACTACTGGATTTTTGTCTCTGTACTAGTGCTTTGATTTGTTTTAGGAGTTTCACCTCTCCACCTGTCATATGCCCCTGGCAGGCTCATTTCTGCTAATGCCCACAATATGCATATCAATGAGCTTTAAACCTTAGGTACGCAGCTCTTCAGGCGTGTATAGCACATTAATCTGTCTGCTTCTAAGTGGTCTGTTGATATGTTTGAGTTACAGTTATACCTACAAGGCTGTGGTCATTGTCCTGGGTTATTCTATTTGTTCTCTCTGCAGGATGCATTAGGACACCCAAGGCCATGGCCGTCATTTGCATCTAGGATTCAATCTTATCTCCTGTGAATCACTGGAAACCTCCTGTCCTGGAACCCTTTTTTTCCACATCCCACTGGATGTCATTCATAGCAACTGGTCTTGTGGGTTGTCTGTTTTATTGTGTTGTCTTACTCTTCCTCTTGGTATCAGTTTTTAAATCCTCTGGATGAGATCAGCTAATCAATCACTAAGCAGCATTGTCCCTCATGCCTTTGTAAGATTCTCTGCACTCTTGGCTAGAATGATTTATTCTGGTATCTTAAGCTGTGTTTCAGAACCTCATTCTAAATATCAACCTATTCTTGTGAGTCCACTACTGATCATCTTTAGATATTCTTCAGTCTTTCAGAGTTCCAAAGGGCAGTAGGAAGAAGCAATGAAAATACCACCTGTATTCTCACATCTTTCATTTTTCCACTCAAAAAATACTGCCATGTTCACTCCTGGTGAAATGTTTATGTCCATGAGAAGCAGTGGCTTTGAATAGTTTTGGCAGACTCTTTATAGCGCTTTACTCAACATTGGGAAGGTATCTTGCCATCAGACCTTTTGGGTCTCCATGAAACTTCTTATACCCCCTCTAGGAAAAGTCACTAACTGTGATCTTTCTGAGCTTCTAAACGCAGCATTTTTTGTACACTCAAGTGAGCGGGGGTCCTCCCTCATTTGTGCTTCTCTTCCTGTAAGTGTGACTTCCTCGCAGTAGGATGAATCTCATGCCTATTTGTGTTATTTTGCTAATTCCAGCTTCTGTTCTACTTGGGGCGGGGGGTTCCAACTCTTTTAAGGTTTCATCTTCAGCACTTCTAAACCATGGGAAACTATGTGAAAACAAATGTAGTAGCCAAACACACCATTCATCACTGTACTTCTGGACAGCTACAAGTCCATACGTGTTCAGGTGAGTCTTCAGGTTGTACGGGAATAGAGGCTCACTCAAGGTAGTTCAATGAAAGTCTAGATGGGAGTGCTTATGGTGTTCTATAATAAAATACTCATGGAACAATAATAGAAATGGATTCTTAGAGAAGCCCAAGAGAAGGAACTATGATTGCTTCATTTCCCTGACATTTCTAAGTTTGGTGGCGTAATCTAATCAACCCAACTCACCTTAGGGTGCCAGGCCATGTCATAAGTCACTGGACTGCCCATAAACAGGTTTCTGGGAGCATGTCCCCATCTTGATCCAATCACCTGTGGCCAGGGATACACATTTTACAAACCACGGTGGTTAGGGCTGCCTGTTCAACAGATATTAGGGGTGATGTTGTACATGCATGCAGGGGAGGCTGAGATGGTAGGCACCGTGAGCAACATGTTCCAGGGTGGGCTCTGCCTCTTGTCTGCTCTGTGACACACTCCTGCTTCCTTGTCCTGACCTCTCATTTGCTAAAGTCTGATTTCCATCTTTGAAGTCTCTGCTCAATCTCTCCAGCCTTCTGCTCATGTCTTCACCTCCTACCTTGCAGCCTGTCTTTTGACTTGATGTTGCTTGACTGCAATTCCTGTGGTTTGGCCTGAGGGGTCCACTCCAATGAAATGCTCCTCTGGCAGCCTTGGCAGGTGTGTCCCAGTGTTCCTGGCTGTCTCCTTGCACCAGTGCAGGCTGCTTGAGATTAGACATGCTCCTCCCTCCTATCAGTCCACCTTGGCCCTGACACTGACTCTTCTCAGCCTCCTTTTGTTTGTCTGCTGGGGCAGAACAAGGTTTCCCAGAAGGTTTAAATTTACATTCTTGGTCAAGGTCTCACACCATCATGACACTGAAGCAGAGAGAGTGACTTCCTTCTCTTCTATGCTGTGTGCATGCCTCCATGCCCCTACTAGTTTGTATAATTCCAGTTTCTATACTTTCTTCCATTCTTTCCTGAAACTTTGTCCTCTCTGTGAAAGTAGATTTTTAGGGATTTGTTTCAGGTTGGTTCATCACTCTGAATATCTTGGGTTTGTCTGATTGAAGCCAAATGGACACAGTGAGTGTTTCCTTTCTGAGTGGTGGGAGGTGGCTCTTGCATCGCCTTTGGGTCCCTTAGAGCTTTAGAGTAAATGCTCAAAGACTGCCCACAGCTGGACTAGAGGCTGTGAATTAGATCTGGGAGGAGAGGACTTAGCAGGAAAAAGCTTCTGTATCTGATGCTAAAATCAGAGATGAAGTCTGAACAGAAGTGGGACATCCAAGAGTCAGGGGTGGGATGTAGGAGGTTCATGGGATGACAGAGGCGGGGCTCAGATCTGAGAAGGGCAGTTTCAATGTGCACAGCAGAGCATTGGGGAGGGGATGTATTGTTCCGTACAAGCTGATGAAAGTTGATAGAAGAATAGGAACAAGGCTTGGATGGTGGCAAAAGACCTACTTGCACCAATGTGAAAAAAGTGGCCCTTTCAAGGCTGAGTCAGGTTGGAAGAGGGCAGAACTGCTTCCACAACACCAGAGAGTGCTGCAAGTATGTGAGAAAACCTGGGCACCAAGAGACCTGGGAGAGAGGAGGCAGATGATGGGTGGGCCAAAGTTCTGGTAGTTGGGAAAGGTGATAGAAGGCATTGCATTAATGCTGGGTCCTCTGCCCTTGTCCTAAGAGCAGCACATGGCTGCTTCCGAATCCTGCCCATGGAGTAACATTTGCTTCCATATGCCACAAAGATGAGATGGGGCCCTGATGTGCCTGCTATAGGAGGGCAGAGCATCCCGTGTGCTCTGTGAGAAGAGCTGGGCCACGTGTCTCCGGGTCAAAGCCCATACACCAGTTATCCCCTATCTCTCTTGTATCTTCAGCCTTTCCTTCCCTATTGGGAAGGATTTCCGTATTTCCAAGAGCCTGCTCAAGTGGGGTCAGCATGTGTCTCTGGTCACCACCCTCTCCCCTGTGGAGGGCTGGCAACTCTCCCATCTATACAAAATTTGAAAGCACCAATTATATGATTGACACTGTTACACTGGAAAACAATTTCCTGTCAGACTCCCCCACTAGACTTTTTACAGGCAGGTGCTACATCTTCATCTCTCTCTCCACAGCACTCGTTGTAGTATTTGCAACCTGGCAGGAATGAAGGAGTCCACGTGGAGTCAAGCACCTCAGGGAACCCCTTCATGGCAGTGACACATACCTCCAACAAGAATTGCCTCTTCCTTCCTTCTGTGGCTTTGCACAGCATTTTTCTTTAATTATAAATACACAGTTGGTCTCTCTATGCTGTTTAGGCTAAGCACAGCACAGCTCCAAACTGGAAAGTTAAATATTTGTGGTAAAAATAACTTATTTGTGCCTATGCAAATGTGGCAACACAAACTCAGGCATGTAGTGTTTTATGCAGAAAAGCTAAAACCAAGAGATGACATTAATTTCCAGTGAAAATATGTGATGACAATTTTAGAATTCTGGCTTTTCAGAAAAAAAAAATCACTCTAGAGGGTCCTAAAAATATGTGCAGTTAGTTATGAGTCCATATTTCCTTCTTACACTCCCACATTGGATCAAAATGCAGCGGTCGTTTTCAAAGTGCATATCACACAGTGTTTTTTGAACACTGTGTGTGTTCAAAAATGGGCTGCTGCCCATTATGGGTTTGTGCAAAGGCAGTGCAATGGCAGTGGCCCATTATGGGTTTGTGAAATTAATTTAATGATTGTGACCAGTAGTCTATTTTTAATAAAAAAATAAAAAAGTGCATCATGTTATATGTATTTTCATGAAACTGTTGTTTCAGTTTTATATCTATGTCCATGTTATGACTGAAATGTATCTCCAAATGTGAATCAATGCCAAGAACATTCGAGGCACACTGCTCTCTTCCATGTAGAACTAGGGACTTATTGAAATACTGTGCTACATCTTACATTCTTAACACTAAAGTCTTTGTGAAGCACTGGAAATTCCAAAAGCCAGAGAAATGAGAAACTTGGGCTATCTCTGGAAAAGTTATCCTTATTTAAGCAGTACAATAGAACAATAAAAAATCAGCTACTGGAAAGCCAGTATGGGTAGAGTTACAGCTTCCTAGAACCTTAATTGGCTGCAGAAAGGACACAAACATTGTCCAACATCTTTCACTGCTTTCACCAGATACTATGCTAGGTGCTTTCATATATGTTATATCATTTAATCATCCACACACAGTTATCTAAAACCAGCTACTAATATCCCCATATTACAGAGGAGGAAATGAATCCTCAGAGAGAGAAGATAATTCGCTCAAGCTCAGCAGTTCTAAGTGGCCTAGCTGGAATTAGGTTCCTCTTCCTGTTAAAAACTAGTAACAATAGCACAACTGAGGTTGTCCACCAGGAAGCTGAGCTGTGTCATGTCTTCCTCTTTGATTAAATGATTTTGCTTTTCTCAATTTGTCTGCTTCGATCCCAGTAGCTCTTGCATTTATCTGTTTTAGACATTCAACTTTCAAATTAGATTTGACTTCATTAAAGAATTTGGCCAAAAAGAACCCAAAAAAACAAAAAAACAAAAACCCAACTGGACACCACTGTATTAAACAAGTAATTTAAGCCTTTGTGTGTATGCTTAAGTTTGCTAAGAGCTCTTACATTTGTACATATACATGCATATAAACAACATATTACAAATAATCTAGAAATACATACGAGCACCATGGACCCTCAATCTGGGATCAGACTAAGCAACTTCTCATTTTACAATTCAAATGCAAATCCATGTTAATCCTACAGAAGATACTGCCCCCACTTTCCCTTCCTCCAAGGCCACCAAATTCCTTTCCCTGTGGCTGGCTGCTGCACCAACACTTCTATAACCTGCTCTTTCTTCAGCTTCTTTACTGCCTGGAAGGAACCTTATGTAACCTACCACCCTACCCACCTCAATAGCAAGCATGTCCTGCTCAGCAGCACAGTGTCTTAAACACAGAGGCCACCTAATGTTCTCTTAGCATGGAGTGGGTAGTGATGGTGGGAGGGCTCAGTCCCTAACTTCCAAGCCCTCCTCTCTAAAATTGGAATGCGTGAGGTCCTGAATCTGGCCCAGATCTGTTTCTCCTATAATAGTCCTGGCTCACCATTATTCCCTGTCTCATGGAGTTCTCTTCTGGTCTTTTCAGCTGATTTTTTTTTTTCTTTTTCTGAGATGAAGTCTGGCTCTGTTGCCCAGGCTGGAGTGCAATGGCACAATCTTGGCTCACTGCAACCTCTGCCTCCTGGGTTCATGTAATTCTCCTGCCTCAGCTTCCCAAGTAGCTGGGATGACAGACGTGCACCACCATGCCCAGCTAATTTTTGTATTTTTAGTACAAACAGGGTTTCACCATGTTAGTTGGGCTGGTCTTGAACTCCTGACCTCAAGTGATCCACCCGCTGTGGCCTCCCAAAGTGCTGGGATTACAGGCATGAGTCACTGCGCCCGGCCTTTCAGCTGATTTTCTAATCAAGAAGCTATATCAGTCTTTGTCTGCAGTTTGTCAAGGACTCTCTTTTAAAGTGCAGAGACTATCCACCTCAGCTACAGCACAGGGCTCAGCACTGTATTTCCAGTTATGGAATACAGTTATTTCAGTTATTTCATATATGTTATATCATTCTTAATTCTGTCCCTAGTTCCTGCTACTGAGGAAGTCCATACTCTGCAGGATAGTCTCCTGGTCTGCCATGAATTCAAACACAATCTGTAAAGAGAGTGAAGGAAGCTACATCTGTGCTTGGGGGCTTTAGAGAATTATTGGCTTGAAGCAATAAGAGGAACATCTGGGCTGAGTAGTCCTTGAAGACTCTCATGTGATTCAAAAGTCCTTTTCTTCCTTATTATTTCCTCTCTTGCTATCAAGCATCTCCTCTGGCAGCAGCAACTAAACTAAAAGTGATTTCTCTATAACAGTGAGCAAGTTGCTCATGGCCTTTGCTATTAACTCTTTCATGCCTGCTGACCTGCAAAAGAATCAGGAGGGCTGGTGCTGGAGCGGATGGCACACTTTGAGTGATGGTTTAGATTCTGCCTGGACTCAAACCATTTGGCTGATGGCAGTATCCTTGATTTTCCCCCTTCCTATCCTGAGAGTATAAGGTTTCTCTGAATTATTACTTCTTTCTTTGCAAGGATCCCTGGATCCTCATTCCTGATATAAGACTAGTTCTAGGTAAGCGCACATTCGTGTGATGTATTGGTTCCATACTAGGCAATGGAAGTGCCACATTATCTGTAAGGAGCAGGAGAAGAGTCATTAGCCCTAATCCTGGGAACGAACTTTCTGTAACTTTAAGAAACATAAAATTTCAAATGCAGCTGAAAGGTTATATATATTCTGTCACCTCCAACTACTCACCCATAAATACAATAGGCACCATAGAGGCTAGGATAAAGGGCAAATTTAAGATTACAAGTGTGCTTGTAATAAATATTGACAACATCATGCCTTCAATGTTATCAATGTTGATGTCACCCGGCAGGCCCAAGGTAGAGAGGCAGAACTGCTCCCCTGGCTGCCCTGCCATGCTTTGGGGTCATGTGATACAATCTTCCATAGCCACGGGGCCTTGGTTGTCAACTCATTCCTGGACCTTGTGTGCCAAAGTGAGTCCAGCTTCCACACCCTTTACCTCCACCTCCAGGCTGATCCAGACTGCCAGGCTAGGATCCTCCAAGCAGGATCCTACCTTGATCTTAAAAACTTCCTACGAAGAGCTCTACCATCATGTTTTCTAAAATCAGAAGCCCACCCTAATCCCTGCCTGGCTTTTGGTTCCTTCATTAGAGGCAATCACTGCCATAGAGAGCCCCACTTACTATCCCTCCATAGATGCTTCTAGAACTAGGTTGGGAGCACGAGATGCTCAGCCTTTATATTTTGTTATCTTGAACCACAAGGGAGTCTTTGAGGACTACCCAGCCCAGACATTTCTCTTATTACTTCAAGCTAACAATTCTCTAAGGCGCCCAAGCACAGATGTAGTTTCCTTAACTGTCTTTACAGATTGTGTTTGAATTCATGGCACAGCAAAAGACTGTCCTGCTGTGTATGGAGTTCCTCAGTAGCAGGAACTAGGGACAGAATTGAGAATAGCACTAACACTGGAAATACAGTGCTGAGCCCTAACACTGGAAGTACAGTACTGAGCCTTGTGCTATAGCTGAGGTGGATGGTCTCTAAGTCTGTGGACCTCTCTGCAGCCAGTCCAATTCCTGTCTTTCTCTTGTGAATAAATGTTGCTGGCTCCAACTCAGCCTTATTTCTTGATGTGATTCTGACTCCAGTCATTAAGGGGGATGTCTTAGTTCTTTTGGGCTACTGTAACAAAATATCTTAGACTGGATAATTTATAAATGACAGAAATTTATTGCTCACAGTCCTTGAGGCTGGAAAGTCCAAGATAAGGTGCTAGCTGATTTGGTGTCTGGTGAGTGCTAGCTCTCTGCCTCATGGTTGGGGCCATCATTCTGTGTCCTTACATGGTAGAAGGGGCAAACAAGCTTCCTTGGGCCTCTTTTATAAGGGCACTAATCCCATTCACGAAGGCAGA